GGGGGGGGGGGGGGGGGGGGGGGGTAGGGTTAGTAGAATTTAGGGTGTTGAGAATGTAAAATTGTAATGATCTAGTGTAAGAATAACTCTTTGTACAGTTAATTGTATTCTGACAATGTACAAAATGTTGTAGTGCTTCTTTAGAACTTTCTAGTTTATAAATTTAGTTAAATGGAGTCTCAGCTCATCCATATGCGAGATTACCAAGGGTTATACTGACTGGCCTTATTATTGCTTTGTTTATCTTGACTGGTACCTTTATTGCCTCCGAAAGTGTCAAAAATCTTGAACAGTATCTGCTCAATTGGTTTTGGATATGCCCATTCTTTATTATGATATTGTTGATCTAAATTGAATTAGACTTTTTCATCACATTCCAGCATTTAACTTGCAGAATTGGATAATTGATATTATGTCCCTAAGTGCTCTTCAGATCAGGCAGCCTTATTTGCGTGGTGGTTGTTAAGATAAGTAGGTGTGATCCTTATTCTAGAAGGTTTAACCTTTTATCTGAAGAAACTTTACATTCTTGATGATTTTTGTATTATGATACATGTCTAGATTTATTGATCTAGTGTACACATAATAAAGGAGAAAGAATCAAAATATTCTGTACACTAATTTAGCTCAAATTTAGGGTAGAAAATGATAAGTTAAGTATGGAAGAATAGCAAAATTAGGGAGATCTTTCCTACTAAGACAAGATTCTCCGGCACTCTCCCTCAAGGTAGATGCTTGCCGTTCCCTGCTTTCATGAATTTCCTTAGAAAGGTTGACTGGCTAGTCCTTTGTCAATATATCTGCCAGCTGACTCTTTGAGGGAACATAAAATGTGTACTATCCCATTGTCTTTCTTCTCCTCGATAAAGATCATGTTGTAACGTTGTTGACTTGTTATTACAGTGTAGTCTCATTGATCCTTCTATTTTGATCTTTTAAGTCTATAATAATGATTTTTGACCACAGTAGCTCACAAATGCCATTAGCTATAGATTTGAATTCTGCCTGTGCATTTGACCTTGCCACCACCAATTATTGCATCTCCATGTAACTTGAGGGCCGTGCATAAACTATCTCATAAATCTCACTGCATAGGCTATATTTATATAGTATAGGATAAGTAACTCTATCTTCCAGCTAGGTTTTGATACGTTCCGTTTACCAACCATCTTGTCATTCTTTTTTTCCCATTCTATGGTTCTGTTCAGTTGTAATATTTTGCAGCGTAGTATTCAAAATTTTTTTTTATGAGATCCTATATATACTTCTATTGTAATTGAAAAATTCCCTTATTTAAATGAGTTACTTCAATTCAATTCCTAATAAGTAATTGAGTCTTCCCAGGTCCTTAATTTCAAATTCCTTTTCAAGAGGAACCCTTCCATTTTTTATCTCCTCAATATCATTTAGTGTCACAATAACATCATACAATTAATACAGTTACATTCCCTTGTTCAAAGTGTTTTATAAACAATATATGATCCCTTTGGCTCTAGTGATATTTAAACTTTACCAATAATTGGTGAATTTAAGCCACATAGAGACTTTTTAAATGTGCTGACCTTTTGTAATAATTTCCCATGGGTGGTAATTCCACATAAACTTCCTTCTAGGTGTAAACATGGAAATTTATTTTTTACGTCAAATTGTTGGAATGATTAGTCTAATTTGGCAGCTCAATACAGCAACATTTTAATGGTGTTCATCTTGTTCATGGGAGCAAAGGTCTTTTGATAGCCTGTACAATATGTCAGGGTATATCCTTTGGCTATCTGGCATTGTATCTGTTTAATGTACCATCTGCCCTATACTTCAATGTGAATACCCACTTGCATCCCTCGGCTTTTTTCGTGTAGGCTGATCAACAATTTCCCATTTTTATTTTGATTCAAGGAGGTATTGAAATTGAAATTTGATGTTAATCACCTTATTGCTCCTGTAGAATTAGATTGTGGCATTGTGCTGTACTTCTATTATTTACTTATTATATGCACATATGCATAACTATATATTCACTTGCTACTTCAATTGGTAAGATGTTCTTTATAAGTAGAAAGCTAAGTGATAAAAACCATGCGAGATCTCCTAAGATGTTAACATTTGAAAGGCTAGAGTCAGTTGAATATGTTCCTCCCTATAACTTAATCCCTTTCGGAACCACCATATTCTTATGCTGCTGACATGATATAGCTGCGGTCGTAAAGATTTTAAACAACTTAATCCCTTTCGGAACTACCATATCAAGTAAGTTTTTCTGCTAGAAATGATTAAGAAATACTAGAGCACCAGGTGAGTCAGCAATACGAGGATCAGGAAAAAAAATGTAAAAGGATTATTCTTAGAAAATACCAGCTCTTTTTAAGATATTTTATTTTCCAACAACATCAGCCTTCAGTGGAGTCTTTGTTTAACATATGATCCAATACAATCGAGGCCGTTATAAGATGCCCATATTCCATTTTATTTTCCATTTTAGTTATTTCTTTTTGCATGATGGTGGTGAGCCTCTGCCTGCCAACTGTAGCATTGGGGTCACCAGCCGATTCATCTCTTATAAATTTCCTTTAAGAACAATATTCTCCACTTTTTGGTCATCTGCAAACTTGACACTTGAGCTTCTTCTATGGTTGCGGTGTTGATATGTCAATTGAATATTTCTTTTATAGCTCTTAAATCCACTCTTCTAGTATTTTCAATCCATGGGACAGTTTTGGTAATTACACATATTTGGTAATTTGTAAATTTTCTGAATTATAGGTTGCGTAGGGTTAAAACTTTTGGTAATCCCATAGGCTGGAAATGGTATGGCAATTAATTTAATTAATATCCATGTAAGAAACCCTGTTGGAATCTGGAAGGTAGGTGATGCAGTGTTTAAAGTCTATACAAGGCGTAAACGCATTCAACTTAATTAGGGTTTTTAGTTAAACACGTTTAAATTAATTAGGTGAGGCATAAACTCATTAGTCAGTTAGTCGTGCTGCTTGTATTTGGTAATTTTTAGAAATAATTGCCGTGTGCCAAAATATTAAATGGGGTAGCTAAGAAGCACCGACATGGACACGATATCGTGTCGGACATGCTAACACGCGATTCTTTAAAAAAGTTCCAGCACGATATGTCGCCGACACGTTGATCATATATATATATTTTTAGGTTATTTTAATTTTATAGTCTAAAGTAATAATTTTTTTATACTTATTGAATCATATATATAATGATAAATAGAAATCAAACTTGACATTAAATTCATAAATGTTTCTTAATAACATAAGATGAAATAGCTCAATTGGTCAGGCCTTGGGTTTGCTCCCCAATGGTCACCAGTTCGAATCCTCTCAGGACCACTGATGTGAGTACCCAACCGTAAACTTCAAGATCCCGTGAAATTAGTCGAGGTGCGCGCAAGTTGGCCTGGACATCTAGGTTATAAAAATAATAATAATAATAACAAAGTTAAAGTTAAATGGATTTTTCTGAAATTTTATGCCACTTTTCAGAATATGCTGTGAGGAAGAAGTGTGTGAATTCTTATAGAAGTTTGATTGTTTGTTGAAGGGTAAAATAATACCAATTAATTCAAACAAAATATTATATATTGTTGTATAAAAAAAAAATACAGCTATTGGAAAAGACACAAAACGTATACAACATGGAAAATTTTACAGTGGTGGGCCCTACAATTTGAAATTTTCATTGGTAAAATGATGACTTTTCATCTTTAGCGATCTCTTCCTCCACCGTGCACTTTTTTCTTTCCTTTCCCCAGACACACCTTCCCAGACGACAATTCCATAGGTCTTTTCCTCTTCCTCTACAGGTCTCTTCCTCTTCTCTTTTCTCTCTTTTTCTTTCCTTCTCTTTCTTCTTCCATCTTCCTTCCCCAAGCTACCAGAGTTTCGCCGGCTGCCTTCTCTTTTTCCTTCTTTTTTCTCTCTTTTTTTTGCCTTCTCAGTTCCGCCGGCTGCCCACCTAAGCCTCTGACACGCTGCAAGTGACTCCGACACACGTTGGCGACGTGTCGGAGGTGTATTGGTGTTTGATACGTATCGGACCCCGATACGTTGTCGTTGGCAGCGTGTCGGTGCTTCTGAGTGGGGTAGGGTTCTCATTTCTATTAGGCAGAAAATTGGGTATTTGGTGGGAGAGCGGAAGCCTCTTGAGGGTTTGGGCTTGACTATGACATTGATGCTTATAGTTCGATGACAGAATAGTAGGGAAGCAAGCTCCCTCAATCTTTCTCATCCTGGGTCCTCCCTCTCTCTTTCCGGTCTCTCTTTTTTCTTTCTCCCTTTCTCTTCTCTCTTTCTTCGTTTTTCAAGCACCAATTTTGATTGTTGATAGTTTGTCTATGAGTGTCTGATTTCAGTACGACTCTATATACGACTTTTCTATTATACTTTGATTTGGTTCGAGTTGTTCTGTAATTATAAGAAATTTTGATACCTTTTGGATCATGTACTGCTGTTAGGCCTGTAGATCTGTTTCTCTTCCTGTCCCTTCCGTCGTCTCTTCTTCTTTTTTCCTAACATTTTGCTCCTCAAATTTCTCATCTACAATAATTTCCTTGGTTGCTCGCCTATAAACCAAAAATTTATAAAAATGTCTTGCTCATACGAAAGTACCATTGATCAGTTGAGGGGTCTTTTTTTCTGACTGCTACATCTAAGTGGCGCATTTCTGAATGCTGCCTTGTCCTTTCCAGGTTTTTATTTTTTGTCTTTCCGTATTTCTGGATTGTCCAAGTTTCTGTATTTGAATGTTGTTCTTTTTTGTTGCATATGCATTCTTAGTAGTGGTAGAGGAGAGAGAGAGAGAGACCAAAATTAATGTGACTTGATGTGTTTTCAATGGAGCTAAAATCTGGATTTTTCATAGATATAGAGATGGATTGAACATAGTGGTGAAAAAGGATCCATGTAGCCTACACTAAATTTATTAAGAATATAGTTTAGTCAGTTCTTGTCATTGTCTCTGTGCGGTATAATAGAAGTCAAATAAACTTCTTTTGAAATGGTGGAAAAGATATACTCTGCGAGGAGGCAACTCAAATGGTGATGAATGGAGGTTTGATCTTGGTGCTAAATAAGCACTAGGAAAAATGTTGAGTCCCACAGTCAAAAATCAAATTAATGAATTCCCTTTCCTATTTAGTTAATAATTTTGAAATGGAAGGGTTGATTCTATTCCATGAAAACAATGTTAAAAAATTCTGTTATGCCTGGGAAAGAGTTTGAACATGAAGTGACAAAAAAGATTTAATAGGTCTAGTTCCAAGATAGCTCTTTCAATAAAACCTTTTTTTTTGGTACGCAGCTTAAGATGGCAGGGAATTGTGCAATATCAACTAGGATTTGGCATTCTGAACTATACCAGAAAGTAAAGGCAACTCATTATTAGATTTGAACTGTTGCCAGCGGATATCATATAAACTACTACCTATTCCATATTTCGATAATAACAGATAATTAAGTGGTTCAGGACCTATTTTCTGTTTTTTGGTTTAAAGTACTCATTATATCTTAAATAGCAATTATATCATACCAGTGTGGCAAAACTACTTTCTTGCTGTCTGCCTCACATTTGCGATTATATTTATTTCGAGTGGCTATTTTCTTACAGTAAAATTTGTATAAAATATATGGTAATGAAAAGAAAAATTTCTTGATGGAGGGTATATAATTATCTGGAATCTTGTATTTTATGGATATGCACTGTTTTTTATTTTTATTTTTGTAATTTGTTGTGGGGAAGGGCTTTTTAGGTCTGGACAATGTGCATCAACTTGGTCCCATAATATATAGGACTCCATATCACAAGAAATTTAAAGAAAATACAGCATTATCTATGATTTTGAACTTCAGGATACTTTTTCTGAATGCCCAAGTTGGCAAAGTTCTTTCTTGACTATAATGTGATAGAATAATAGAGGGCAAAATTAATGTTTATACTTTTAAAATTTTTCTTCTTAATTTATTGTTTGATTTCTCTCTATATGCCAAATTGTTCTTACCATTGTCTTTGTGTAAAGTTCCACTGACTATCCAAATTTCTGCAAGTGTTAGGCAAATAATATGTCTGTCGACTTTCTTTCAGTATCATACTGCCATATGTTCCATCACCATGTACTCGGGTATTCATATTGTCCTCATAAGTTTGTGGTTGGTTTAGCTCTGAAATTGTTGTTTTTTTAAATTTGTATAGTAAATGACAGATGCCAGTGTATTTGGGTATAAGTGTAAGCTTTAGAAAAGACATCCTGTTTGTTGTTTCAATTGTTTTTGATCTACAATGTGACAAACAGGGCAATCCATCATGCTGACTAAGATTAGTTGTTTTTGAGATTCTGTATTACCATGTTATGGTATTATGTATATTTTCTCTTTCTTTTCTTCAAACTAATCGTAAGAGAGGGTCTCGCACTAATAATTTTTCCTTTGAATCGGGTGGTCATACTCATATTCCCATTTCTGGTACTTGGTTTTGTTGTGTAATAAAACAATGATACTATAGATATTTTCTTAATTATCATTTTCCTTTCATATATTCACAAGTGTTTCCAATAGAATGAATTGTATATAGTTTTTGTTGATTGGCTAATCTTTGGCAAATGCAGAGGCATTGATTTTTGCATTTCAAACCAGGAGGTTCCCAGCAGGGCACAAGATTTGCCTTCACTGTTAAAGCAGGTGAATGTTTCCTTGTACTGATTCATTCTTATATTTGTCTTAACCACTGCTCATGGATGCATGAAATGAGTTTTCTGAGATCTGTGTCAGCTTTACGGGTATCTAACCTTTATGGCTAATTGAGATGGCCAAGATAAGAGCCTTGGAACACTTAGGTTTTCACTATGGTGGGCATACGAGGTTCTCATAATTTGTCTTTTGGTGGCAATCCGGACTGACAGTTTCAATCATTTACTGAAATAGTTAGTACATAAAATTCTCTGGGGAGACACTGCACCTGAGTATTCTCACTTCCTGAAGCACAACTAGAGGACATGGGGGAAATGCATTGATGTGCTGTGTGGTCTTGGTCATGACATCTTTATATTATGCCTTTTTCAAACGGCGAGTTCACCATTTTAATATCTTTTGTTTCTGCATGGCCATTGTATTTCACATTGCATCTATTATTTCAGTTTGGGAACTACTTAATATCACATTTTCAACTTATCTTGTCTTAAAACTTGTACAAACTACTGTTGATTTCGTGAACAAGCTTGATTTTTCCCTCAGCTCATTATATGCTTGCCTTGAAGCTGAAGAAAATGATGTTTTTCATGTAGCTCCAACCATATTATCATTACTAGTCTATTACTACTTGAATATCTCTCCAATACTTTTGGATTGATAGCTCTGATTAATTTTCCTTTGTAGTGATTGTCCCGTGTTTACTGTGGTGGATAACTTCAATTTCTTTTTCGAGGAAAGCTTTGGACAAGTTATACAACAATTTAGGAAGAATTTGTAATGATTCAATGTAATAAGAATTTAGTAATGCTTCCGGTCATACCGTAGTGACAGGTTTCAAGTTTCGACCGTTGAACAACAATTTAGTAAGAATTTATAATGATTCAATGTAATAAATCTTGTCATAGAACTGGAGGAAGGGGCAGGAAACAACAGCAGACAGACGCACTTGGCTTAATGATAGCAGACAGTTATTATATGCACAGCACAACAGTCGACAACTCTATATTGTTGAATCTATGAATTCTGAAGATGAGTTAATTATTGACTTGAGCTGTAGAGAAAACAAGAACACGGAACTTGGGAGAAGAAATTTTAATAGCAATAGTTGGGATTTGGTGAAGGAGATTTGAAGTTGCAGCTTCTAGGGTTGTAGTGATCTCATTTTCTGGAGTGTTTTATTGTGATAATGTGTGGTTGCCTGGTTGGTAATACCAAACTATCCTAACCAAATATTTTTGGGTAGGCCAGTCTGGTCTTTCTTTCTTAAAAAAATTGAGAACCATACCGAATTGTACGGTCATTGGATCTTTGCTCGTTCATTGACCTCTGTTGCTAACTTGTAGTTTGTCTCATATATGTGTTGAAGTGGTGATCTGAAGCCTTATACCATCTTTTCCAATCATCTTATGCCCTATAGGTCTGCCAATGTAAAAATGATGCTGTAGTGCAAGCAGCAGTTATGGTTCTGATGATCTCTGTTAAGGTAATTTATTTTATCCAGCCTATAACTATATGACACTAAAACAACTTTAGCATGCTGATTTTCTCGTTGAATAGATGCATATGAAGTCATTCTTTCAGTTGTCATATTCTCCTTTGTGATTTATTGGCTCCTAGCATGGTTATATTTTCCATGTAAATTAAGTTCACGGATAAGAGCTTGTAAAATAATGATTGAGACTGCATCAATATTGTCAAAGATATAATCCTATCTGGCTAGAAAAGATGGGCGGGTCGTCTTTCGGGAGATTACTCGTGTGAACTAGCAACTAGGCTTCTAGATGAGTTTAATGTACAATCCAAACCTGTGAAATAGGTAAATACATGCCATTTACGTTAAAGCTAGCTGGTCATGCCAGTAACTGTAAGGCAGTGGGAATTGTATTCTGCATGACTGAGTGCATGAATGCTAAAGAATCCCAAGTACCATAGAGTTGTCTGCCTTGAAGGGCTTACAGATGACCAAATACTGGATTGATTGAATTTATATATGGGAATAACTGGTATGGAGGTCCTTGAATGGGGTGGGGGCTGTCGGCGGAAGCTATGACTCACTTTTACCCTTTGGACATAGATAATAAAACATTTTCAAGGCTGAGTTTGCTATTTGTCTTATTATATTACTGTAATTGGGTTAAACCATTTTGTGCCACTTCCTGGAGGTATTGATGTCTTGAAGGCATGTGGAATATGAAACATCATGTGTGCATACAGAGTTAGTTATTCCTTACTCATCCTGATTCTCCATTCATATTCTTCCATTTATTCTCCAGATGTTCACATGGTACCTGAAAATTGTTATCACCTTTATGCAAAGAAGTCTAGGATATCTTAGATTAGGGAGAAATGGCCATCTTATTTTCTAGTTCTCTTCCTGAACTGGTGATTTGTTCTGTAGAGTGCTTGTGAAAGTGGGTGGTTTTCAGAGAGAGATTCCGAAGAACTGCAAAATCTGGCGAAGGAGGTTTGTTAATATGTTTGTGTTATCTCATCCACAAGCACTTTTCTTGTCGATAGATTTCGAATTATACTGATTTTTGGGTCTTTCTGCATATTCAGATAGCATGCAATTTTTGCAGTGTATCAAATTTTAACACAGAACCAACCAGTTCACTTTCTGTCATCTCAACAATCACGTCTAGGTAAAATACTATCCTACTTTTTTTTGTAGTCCCAACTTATGAGAGATGATCATATGACCATGCTTTGAAAGTTCAAATCTATGCGAAAGCTTGTTTGACGGTGCTGGTTTTGCAGCTCTGTAGGAAATCACTAACTAATGAACTTCCTTCATTATTCGGATTAGCATAGCTCAGGATTCTTATTTTTCTCTATTTTTTATTTTTTTTACTTCAAATGTGTGTCTCTATATTCTAGAATTTATTCTAGCCGTAAATTCCTGATGTTGAGATGCATTTATTTTCAAGTGAAGGTAAAGCAAAATAAAAGCAAGTCATAGAAAAACAAAATTCATGTCTGTGAGTTGAAGTCCGTATAAATTGGACGTTTCAATATTATGAACAGAATTGGAAAAAAATAGGAAATTATAAGTAAAGTAGTTCGTAAGAATCTCTGTGATTGTTTTACTTGCCAGAGATTGAGCTGATTTTTCTTTCCTCTTTCAATCTTGCTTTGGATGAGTCCATGTGCTTGGGCATATAGGCTCTGGCATTTAGCTGTTGTCACTGGGTACCAGCATACAAGCATATATCTTTCTAGTATGATTCTGTAATTGTACATCTTCTCTTACTCAGTTTGGTTAGTTATAATGTCAGTGTGCTTTCTTTGTTTCTCATAACTGTACTAATATCTAATCACTCATCTTTTATTTTTAGGAAATTCACATTATAACCTTCACTGAGTGATATACTGATAGTTTTGGTCAAGGAGGCATGCAAATGTTCATTGTTATTTGGATCAATATATTTCTCTATTTTGTCCAGATTTTCTTGAATAAAAATACTATACTTGAGATATGCTGGCGTGTCATTCAATTGTGATATTAGTTCCAGTCTGTGAAACAAATAATACAAAAGATGGAGAGGGAAAACAAAGGGGGGCTAGGGTTCTACATTGCTTAAAATTGATAGAAAATACAAAGAAAGGGAACCTTTAAATAGTCTTACAAGTAAACAAATAGAATGAGAAAACTACCCTTAAACTAATATATCTATTACATTAACATCCCCTCAAACTCACGATGCTACAACAAGAAGCAACGAGAGTTTGTCAAGCAAGAAACAAAAACGATGAACCGGATGTGACTTCTTGAAGAAGTTAGCTAAGCTGCAACGATGAAGAGACAAATTCTAGCTCCACAAATACCAACTGAACTGGATGCAAATTTCAAATTTCGGATACACCGAACCAATACCAAATCAAATTCTAGAGTAACAGGACATAAACCAAACCAAATTCCAGATTAACTAGACATATACTAAATCAAATTCCAGATGAACTGGACATACACCAAACCAAATTCTCAATCCCATGAACCGGACATATATCAGACTAAATTTCCAATCCCATGAACTGGGCGCATACCAAACCAAATTCTCAATCCCATTAACTGGGCATATATCAAACCAAATTCTCAATCCCATGAACTGGACATATACCAAATCAAATTTCCAATTCCATTAAGTGGGTATATACTAAACCAAATACTCAATCCCATGAACTGGGCGTATATCAAACCAAATTTCCAATCCCATTAAGTGGACGTATACTAAACCAAATTCTCAATCCCATGAACTGGGCATATGCCAAACCAAAATTCCAAATCTTTTTTTTTCGTAAACCAATCCAAATTAGTAGTAATCAAACCAATTAAATAATTGGTCCAATTACTCCAACAGCCCAATAAGCACAACCAACTTACAAAAGAAGCTAGATTGCAACCCAAACAAATTACCACACAAAAGCAGTCCACACTAAATCAGCCCACACAAATAGCAAACCTAATTTAACAAGCTCAATAAACTAAATATTCAAACTCAACCTTCTGCCCAATTACAATGTCACCAACATGACCATTACTCATTCCAAGCTCATTAACCTATCATTCCCCGCTAATACTATAACCCAAGCCCTATTAATCTCCCCACAAATTAAACCAACCCAACAACCAAGCTCATTAACCTTTCATTCCCAGCTAATACTATAACCCAATCCCAATTAATCTCCCCACAAATTAAACCAACCCAACAAAACAAATACCCAGCCCATTACCACTTCAACATCTTCCCCGATTTCATTCACCACGGTTCCGGGCTTCCAGCAGCCACAACAACCAACTAAATCAACACAAAACCAAATCGTTGCCATATATCTCGCCTCTACCATTAACCCCGACCAAAAGAAATAGGAATATAAACTAGTCAGTACAGAATCCATGTGAACAATACAAACCAATTTGCCAAATCAAATTAGGAAAAGGACAAGGAGAGGAAGAAGAGGAAACCGATTCATAGAGACTCCAAAATTAGCCACCAAAATCAACCAACAGAAATGCCGTATTCCTTGTTTAATTCCCTGAATGCAACCTCCAAAATCAGCCAACAACTTGAACAGCCTTCCACTCCACGGAGCGTCCACCGTCCACTTTTGAAATCTCCACTGTCCACCTGTTTTTTTTTTGGAAAAAGACAGAGGACACAAAATGCTTTAGAACACAAAGCAAAACACAAATGGCGGGTTGTTATTCCACTCCAACCACAAACCATCCACTTCTTGAATCCACCGTCCACTTCCCAGATCTCCTCTGGTTACACATTCTGCTGGCAGGATTCAAGCACAAACATCAGCTTTGATACCATGTGAAACAAATAATACAAAAGATGGAGAGGGAAAACAAAGGGGAGCTAGGGTTCTACATTGCTTAAAATTGATAGAAAATACTAAGAAAGGGAACCTTTAAATAGTCTTACAAGTAAACAAATAGAATGGCAAAACTACCCTTAAACTAATATATTTATTTCATTAACACAGTCACTTACACGGAAGAAGAGAACTGGTTTCCCAAAATTGTATGTGTAATCAGTTTTCTGTCGAACTTCCGGTGGTAGTACTTTTACTAATATTATTTGTATGCTTATTCTTTGGTTGTTGAATGTCTGATATCTTGAAGTAATCTCATTTAGATTTGATGGTTTGGGGACAACTGTTGATGAATGTTTTTGATAACTTCAACTCATGTTGTTTACTTGTTCTTAATCCATGTACCAAATACCAATGTTCGGGTTCTTGGATTGATATGCATAAGGTTATTACCTTTTTTCTGTAAAATCTGAACAGAATATTTTATATTTTGCCTGTCAATCTTTTTTACCCTCAAATATGCAACTGAGAATCCTGGCCATGTAACTATGCAGATTTTACCCAACAATGAAAATGGGTCATATATTCGCTTTTCTTGAAATTCAGGTGGTTATCTTCCTTCTCTTTTTACTTCCCTTCCCCCGGATATCAATGTCATATCATTTGAAGCGCTGATATGATTGGTGCACTTTTGTATCTACATTGTAGCCTGGATATGGTACTTATGTGCGTGACTTCCAGATTTCGAAGAATGTTCAGTTTTCTCGAGAAGATAAAATTGTAAGTTTCTCCTATATTAATTCTCAAGTTTAATCCTGTACTTTCAGGAAGGTGACTATGATTTCACGATAACTTTTCACAACCCTTGGTAGGTTTGATTATCTTAACCTTGTTACCTCGTACATGTTGCTCATCATAGGTTCTCTTAAATTTATGATAAGAACAATAACGGATGGTACTTTATTTTGACTTGATATAAATACTAAGCTGTGTACCTTGATGATTTAAATTGTAGTTTCTCTACCAATATGTCCTATTTAAAATTTAAAACGATAGTTGAGTCATATCAAAATCTTAATGTACAAACAAGCTCTACTTATATGTCCCAGATAGGCCGTATACTTTTAGGAAAGTATCTTCTATTCTATTGTTACACTTCAAGTTCAATTAGACAAACTACTAATTTTCCTATTTTTATCTTTTATAGATAGTTAACTATATAAATTATTGAGAATACCGGGTACTTCTCTTTGATCGTTTTTGGAGCATCAGTACTAGACCATCTCGTTGACTGTTAGCATCAGATTATGAATTAAGCCCTTGTTTGAGCCCCATTGGGGGGGAAAAAACGTATTTTGGAATAGTGATTTTTGGAGAATGTGTAATTAAAAAATAATGCAAAAAGTTTTCGATTTACATGTAAAATTATTTTATTGGAGGATGTGGTTGAAAATGAGTTTTGAAAAAATGAGTTTGTGATGAAATGGGCCTCAAACAAGGGCTAAGAGTTTAAATTACTAAGTACTCGTGAGTTAATCTTGTTTAGTTGATCATAGTTTTATTTAAGTATAGATCAGTTTGGTGATAACAGTGCTTATATGTAAATTCATGCATAGGATAAATAAGTTTGATAACAATGGATTATTTATCCTTTTGCCTGCAGAGGTTATTTATTGTGCAGGCAGATAGCATTGAGACATCTTCATGTCTAATTAATCCTCCCAAAGTGAAGTGAGCAATTTGTTTCATTATCTTTCCTGCTGAATACAATATGAGAGTATTATTATTTTCCTTTCATCAAAACTATTTCAAGTGTCCTTTCACATTTGGCTTCTTCAGCTTTCTGTTGAATGGGAAAGGAGTGGAAAGGAGGACTAACTTGTACACGGTTTGTCTTCAATTAAATTTAACAAGTCATTTCTACATTTAATCTAATTATGTCATGGAATTTTGTATATACTTACATTAGTTGGCTTTACTAGGATACTGGACCTCAACTTCCAACACTAGTGACACATATGCTGAAATATGGATCAAATCTTCTTCAAGCTGTGGGTGACTTTAATGGTATCGCAGCTTTCCACTTCTGACATTTTGGTTTAGTTGATAATTATTCCAAAAAATTTATTCTGCGTTAATTATTTTGAAGGAAATTACATTATAGCTGTTGCTTTCATGAGTACGATATCAACTCCTGATATTAATGCCATTCAAGATTATGTGCAACATGTTCCTGCAGCCATTGATTCAGGTGCAGCAATGCATTTATTTCACTATTTTACTGTAAAAGCAATCATTTATGATAACATGTCCCACGGATAAGATTTGTTACTTTGCTGGACTAAAGTTACGTTGTTTTCTGATTGTTTCCTTTGCTACGTAGATTCTGAAATTATTGAAGGGGCATCACGGATATCAATAAATTGTCCTATTAGGTAACCCTTCCGATTTGTTTGCCTAACTAGGTTTTCTATTCCTGCTAGTCCATTACCTTTTGTACTCATATTATGCTGCATGATAATGCCAGACATGTTTTCTAAAGCAAAGGATAATGTTTGGAAACAACTTTAAACATTTAACACTAACATATCTCCTGCAGCTTCATTGCCTGATGCACAATTTCATTTTTATCTTATATTTTGTTTCTGGCATCATATTAATTGCTTATCTGATGTTTATCATTTCATTTTCTCATATTTACTTTAACTGATGATATGAATTATTAACGAATCATCATTCCATGAATCTCAACTCTACTCTATGCCCTTGATGCACTGCTGATTAGGTTATCTTTGTTCTGAATCTTGAACAGCTTCAGGCGTATTAAAACTCCAGTCAAAGGACATTCATGCAAACATCTCCAGGTAACTGTAGCAGCACATAACGGGAGAAGTTCCACGATATCAAGCCTGCTAGGGAATAATTCGCCTTTTAGTCTATAACTTGTGTGGAAGTTGAAGTGTTTCAAGTAAAAAATCCTTTTAAACCTATTACGGGCTAGTGCATATTGAATTCTTCAGTTATGATGGTCTAGCTTTAGTGTGTAGAAACATTTTCTGCTAGCTTATTGTTATTCATCTCTAAGATTCTGTTTTGACTACAAAACTTAAATGTTTAAGCCAGTTGATATAGTTTGTAACCATGGCAAGATGTCATTGGTGAATGAAGTGAGAGTTAGATGAACTGATCTATGTTTGAGCAGGATGGGGGTCGTGGCCGAACCCCACCTGCAGATTCTGCTAAAAAACAAAAACTAATCCATCTGTAATTAGAGAGAAAAATTACCTGGAAGTCCCAAGATTGGAAGCTTAATTTACCATGCTAAACAAATCTAGATTAGTGCATATTTTTCCATTTTCGTACATCTGGTCTGATACTCGTTTGCTTCCCTTCCTGCGTAACATTATTTTTTACTTAATCTTAGTTGACACTTTTATATTTCTTTTCATTTTCAGTGTTTTGATTATGACAACTATGTGAACATAAATTCAAGAAGACCATCATGGCGCTGTCCGCATTGTAATCAGCATGTCTGCTTCACTGATATCCGCCTTGATCAAAATATGGCGAAGGCAAGTAGCTTATTTGCATTCACCCCTATATTCTTGAATTCCCATACTTTTGAGTGATGTAGTTGGATTTTCTTCAGGTGTTGAAGGAGGTTGGACCTAATGCCAAAGAGGTAATCATCTCCTCAGATGGGTCATGGAATGCTGTCATCGAAACTGATGACGCTATGAAGAAACCAGAGGATAAGACCTCCAATGTTGGACATGATGCGCCTTCAGAAATTGAATCTACTGGTTTGGCAGATGCACCAGTGGAGATTCTTGATCTTACAGAAGTAGATGATGTGATAGATGCAGTTGCCACTCGCGAAAGTGAAGACAGAAAACTTTCCCCAACTGCCCATCAAAGTCTTTCTATGACTCAGACTCCAAGTGTCAACCCTCAAATGGCCAACACAGATGATGTTAGTCAAAACATTGATCAGATTGACGAAGACTTTTGGTCAGGTATTTTAATGTCCTCCTTTGGATCAGGGACATCAAATGTTAGATCAAATCTACCAATTGCTGGTGTTTCTAATCGGGAACTCGACGCTTTTCATGGAAATGTTCCTCTCTCAACTTCTGTGCCAGAAAGTGAAGCTGCTTTGACGAATATTTTGCAACTGCAGCAGTATCAATTTGGAAATTCAAATATGAGTAACGAGTATGGAAGGCTCCCTTCAATATCCAGCCATGTAACAAGAACACCAATTGCAATTCAGGCCCTTCCTGCACAGACGCCTACTTCTGTCCTTCAACAGAGATCAAGAAATAGTACGAATGCCTTTATGCAGAATAACCCTTCAGTAGCTTCTGAAGCCTCACCTTCTGCACGATTGGTCCCGGATGGTTTCTCTATAGTCAATTCAAGTTCAATGCAGATGTCCCAGATGCCTTGTTCTTCGTTGCAGCAGTACTCAGGTATACAGGTAAGCTTCTATGCATAAAGTAATAAACAGTCCATATACACAGTATGATTAAATAATATATATAGTTTCTTAATTATTCTGTTCTTTGGTGATTTGTGATCAGCAAAACCATTTGGTTCCTTCTGTTCGCCAATCTCAGCGTAATATTGGTCTTCAGGCTCCCCATCAGGTGCCAAATGCTTATAGAGTTTCAAATGAACTCCAAAGTTCAAGTCAATTGCAGATGGCAAACCTTGCGGCGTCTCATTCAATGAATCAGTCTTTTGGACAAGTCCAATCATCAATACAACCGTCTGCCAATTTCTTGAGCCCTCAAATGCATGGGGTAGGTTCACAAAGTGGAGTTGATCGGTCAACAGGCATTATTGGTAATCAACAATCTCGTTTAGTGGTCTCTAATCAGAGAAATGGACAAATGGCAAGGCCCGTTGAAATATCGAGAGCGCACACATATTCACTGAGTGCTGATGCTCGTAGGATGCCTTCTGTGTCCCACCAAATAGAGAATACAGGAGGTACATCAGTTCCAGTCCCAGGAACAGATGCTTACGATCAAGCTGACCAAAACTGGAGGCCCACAGCCCGGATGCGTGGAGCCCTATCTGGGCAAGCTTATTCTGATGCTCTTAACCAGTTTATACTTCGGCCAACCCAGCAACCTCAAGCTGCTCGACCAACCTTGAATGCGGGCTCACTTCCAGGTAATGTCCCAGCACCTTTGCAACCTCTGGTAGCTGATAGAGTTGCTCAGAGTCCTCAACTGCCAAATCATCCATCCATAGGACAAGCTAGTTGGCCTAGGGTATCTGGTGTTTCACCCGAGGGATCTTCTGGGAACTGATGTGTAGACTTAAAGGGAGGTCGCTAGGTGAGTCTTGGCCAAATATATCTCCTGCGGTCATTTATACATGTATATCTGTACGCTTATGGCACGAAGACAAGGCTGGGTCGTGCTATCGGTTTTGTGTTGTTAGTTTGGGAACTAGTAACTACAGATCTTGATGAATGCCTTCTTCGGTATTTACTATTTATGAACTCACAATATGTGTGCAAGACGTGTTGACTTTTGCTTATGCTTGAATTTCTCCATTCCCATGCTTGGTTATTTCCTAGCTTGTTTGATAAATTGAAGGAAATTATAATAATTGTAGTTGTACCATATTCATATTAAATCACAATCATTTTACCTTTAGCCTTTGTTTGAGCCCCTCTTTTTTTAAAAAAAAAAAATTCTTGAATAGTCTTTTGATTCTATTTCAATTACATATTCTTCAATAAAATAATATTATATGCAAATTCAAAATTTTTTCTTATTTTTTAATCAAACATTTCTCATCAATAAACTATTAAAAAATGCATTTTTTTAAAAATAAAAATAGGGCTCAAACTACCCCTGAATGTGCTACATATGGAGAAGAAATGAAAATAATAAAATTATTTAAATTTTTAAGAGCCTTGGCAAATGGCAAAAATGCTTCGAATAAGTTTCTAAATGGTGTAAACACGATAAGTGTCGTGGAGGTCGAAGTTCTAAGCTTTAAGAGCTTAAGTTTGTTGAGGCGAGGTTGGTGTAATAAAGTATTATCTTATTATAAATTTTATTTTTATTATCTGTGCAATTAAATAAATAATGCACGCCTCAAAAAATTATGAAGATTTTTAAGGTTTTCAACAAAAAATATCATTCTTAAAATTAGATTAATATGAACATTAGCATAAATTTTGTTTAACTCTTTGGAGGTGGCGAATTGAAAGTCGCAGAAGATTTGGAACTTAAAAACTGTCAGAGAAATAAGATGGAGAAGGATGAATGATATAATTTTCATAAAAATCAAGAATGCTCTAATTTTGGAAATAAATAAACTGGAGCCTCGGATTGTTCATGGGCAGGGTTCGGCTTATGTTGGTCTTTTGCCCTTAATTAAATGGATTTTTATTGCAAATCATGTCCTCAAAATTTATAGTATTTAGAAACTAATTTTATTCTTATTTTTATTCGTC